CAGGTCACTGCAGCTGTGCCCAGGATATCACTTCTGCCCAGGTCACTGCAGCTGCACCCAGGATATCACTTCTGCTCACGTCACTGCAGCTGTGCCCGGGATCCCACTTCTGCTCAGGGTCACTGCCATGAAGATGCAGCTTGGGAACTTTCCCACACTGGGTCCAGGGGTGGGGCTGGACTATAGGGGTGCAATTTCAGGTAAATAAAGAGAATAGTTTACAGGCACAGGTGATACTGGACTCCTCATCCCCATGATGTGGGACCTCAGACCACCTGTGTTAGTCTAACATGGGTGATTGGGGGGGAGCTGGGTTGTCTCTAGCTCTGGATGCTAAGGCAAAGGACTGGCCAGACCTCCCCCAAGGCACTAATGGAAGCCAGACTACCCTGGGGAGGGTGAAGCCTTCCCAGCAAGTGCTGGAGGACACCGGAAAGTCCCCAGCAGCGCTCAGTAACCAGGGGTTTAACACACGGTTTGTTACTTCAGGGGCTTCTCTTGCACAGTTCCCAAAGTATTTTCCTGAGAAGGATCTTCAAAAATTTGTCTCCTACAATGAAAGCCCCCCCCCCCCCATCAACAAAAGACTTTAATTCATCCGGAGGCCATAGCTATGCGGCTCAGGGCATTGGCTCTAGGGCTTCGATTCAATCTCGTGTTTGGGTCTTATTTAGGCAAATCCTATGGTTTCTCCCTTTGCTCCAGTTCCCTCTTATCTAAAATGGGGACAATTAAAATCCTGCCTCAAAAAAAAAAAAAAAAATCCTGCCTCAGAGGGTGGTTGTGAAGACCAAATACACTAAAATAAACAAAAGGCTTACCATAGGGCTTGGCCTGATGATAATGACCACACCCCAGGGGTTTTGTACTCCATCTTTAGGAGGGTTTGGGCAGAACACTCACTTTAAAAAACCCGGAGCTTCAGAGAAGTCGGACCACGCTCTTCCTGTTGCACTGTGTCATTTTCTGACAAGATACAGGGCGTTGCAGTAAGACTGACCCAGATGGTGTGGTGGCTGGCTGGCTACAAGAAACAGAAAGTCTGAGCTACAACAGCCAGGGCCACAGGTAGTCATTAGTTATTTAGGGAGCAATTTAGCTATGGGTAGTAGCAGCACCTCAATGATATCGACAAGGATTCAGGGTATATATTTCTATTCTAGTCCCTGCGCTTATCTCCGCAGGGTTGCAAGGTGGCTGCTGTGACTCCACATGTCATATGGTATTGCAGGTAGAAATGGCAGGGCAAGTGTGGGACCAGTCACATGCTTTTTTTTGTTTTGTTTTTAATAAAGCAAAGGTTTCATCTTGTTTTGCTTTTCCTTCCAGAAGCACCCTAACAGATGTTCCTTCTTATTTTTCACCAATCTGGGAGTCATAGTTACAGCTAGGAAACACATTTCTAGCCTGCGGTGTGGGAGGCAGCCAAGATTAAGGAGGTGCTGATGGTGCCAGGCTGGCCGGATGTCCACCCCTTGCTTCCGTAGACTGTGCTGGGCTTCACATGCAGGGCTGTGGAGTCACATGCCTGACTTCTAACCATGTGCTTTTCTCTTGGGCAGATGCATGTCTATTCCTTAGGGATGACTCTCTACTGGTCAGCGGGGTTTCGTGTTCCACCAAACCAGGTCTGTAACAAGAATGCCTCACAAATGACCAGGTCATCCATCTGGATTAGCTTAGGAGCTCTCCCTTAGGCTGGACCACATTCATTAAGTGTGGCCGTCACCACCCTTCTGTGCAAGGCCTTCTACAGGTACTGCCAGCCGATTGCACAGCTCCTTTCCCCCAGTCCATGAACAACCGCAGCGTCTTCTTAAACACTCGAGCAGACCCAAGTTGAGACTGGCAGTTAAGATTCACTTGTCCTCTCAGGCCACAGGAAGTAGCAAACTAGAGGATTTCATATACAACACAGACAGTTATTTGTGTATTCTCCCAAATGCTTTTAGAATTGGCCCTCCCTGAAGTGAACTGCTGCCCTGAGAAAGGGCTTCTGTGCTCAGTAATTGAGATAAAATACACCCTGCAATGTCTCCTCTGGAAGAGGTTCACACTAGCTTGTTCCTGACTATGGCAAGCCTCAAGACACAGAAGCTTTATGGAGCAAAGCATGTTGCACTGTGTGAATACACACATTTGTGTATGTGCCTGTGTGTGTGTGTGTGTGTGTGTGTGTGTGTGTGTGTGTGTGTGTGTGACTGCATATTTTCATCTGACATCATAAGAACCCTTTAAACACTGGGTCTGTAAGAAGCATTGCTAAACCTGACCATGAGACCCTCTCCTGACTCACCAACCCCTCTCTTTCTCTCTGCCTCCCTTCCTCACTTTCTCCCCATCTCTTAAGCAGAAAACTATTCACAACTCACCTGCTTGAGGTGAGACCCACACTGGCTACCTACTGCCCATGGTAATATTTGAGCATCTCACCAGGGCACACGGATTCCAGAAATTGGCCCCTGCTCCTGTCGGCTGGGTCTCTGACATCCCAGGGCTTGTCTTATGGGCGTGTGACTTGCAATCCTGTGCCTGACTTAATGCTCTGCCAGCCCCAGTTTGTACCCAGTACTTTGGGGCCCCACACTATCATTCTGTCATGGCCCCTTCTGTAGTCCTTTCCTTTCAGACTCCCACACCAGCTCATTTCTCCCAGCTCCCCGGCACCTCTTCCTCTGCGCACAAGCTCATTCTGCCTTCCCAGCCCCCTGCTGCTGTTTGAGGTCGATCTGGGTCAGGCTTTTGTCTGTATATTTGTGGGGTCCCATGCTTGCTGAGGTCAAGACCTTGCCATCTTTAAGGCAATGAGGATGAAGAGCAGCTGTGCTGGACACAATGGCCCCTGGTGAGCTGTGTAATAGTTGACCCAGTGGCCTGGGTGCTGTGAAGACAGGCTCCCCGAGAGCATGAAGAGGCTGCTTGTACAAGACTAATTTTTCTTTGGCCTGATGCCTGTGTGGTGTAGAGTTCTACCAAGAGTGACTGTGACTGAGCCCTTGCCTGCTGCTCATGGCTCTGCATGAAAGGCCACTTCAATTTACAGGTCTGATTCCCTTGCACTCATGTTCCAGGGGGAAGTCCTCATGAGATAATTGTCTCCCTCCCCTCCACCAGATAAGTGTAGGAAGCACCGGGCTGCCAAGTCAATGTAGTGGTGTGTGTGTGTGTGTGTGTGTGTGTGTGTGTGTGTGTGTGTGTGTGTAACCACTAGTGGGGCCGACCATTTGGCTCAGGTCAAGGTCCATGATGTCCAGCACAGGCTGTCCACCAGCTTACCAGGCTTGCATTTGAGCTGAAGTGCTCCGACTAGAGAGCAGCAGGCACAGTAGATGTAGAAACCATTGCTTGGCCTCAATGACAAATCAGATGTGTGTTCTGGAAGAAGCAAACATGTTCTAGTGGTGATGAGTCTGTTTCCTGGAGTCGCCAGGGCATGTGGGCCTTGGTGCCGTCTTGTTAGGGTTTCTATTGCTGTAAAGAGACACCATGACCATGGCCACTCTTATAAAGGAAACATTTAATTGTGGTAGCTCACTTACAATTCAGAGGTCCAGTCCATCATGGCAGGGAGCATAGTGACATGCGGGCAGGCATGGTGATGGAGAAATAGCTGAGTGTCCTACATCTTGCAGGTGACAGGAAGTCGACTAACTGTTATACCTAGGAAAACTGGAGAAAAAGAAACCTCAAAGCCCGCCTCCAGGGTGACACACTTCCTCCAATAAGATCACATCGACTCCAACAAAGCCACACCTCCTAGTAGTGCCGCTCCCTTTCAGACCCCCACAGTGCCCTGCAGCTTCTCACCGGTGTGTGCTCTGCAGCCCCTGCAGCTTCGAGAGCCACTGCACTCCCTCCTGCTGGCCATGTGTGAAGACCAGCCTCGAAGGCGGCGGCCACTGCAGGCCGTTCTGCAAGCCTGCCGGGTTCATCAGGAAGAAGTGGCGGTGTACCCAGCCCCTGCCAGTCTCCACATCAGTCGGCTGGTGGGCTTGGTGCTGGGCACCATCTCCGAGGTCAGTTATAGAACCCATCTTTCCCACTGGGGAGCCACTAGCCGTGTGTAGCTAGTGGAATTTAAATCAGCCAAATTTTAATTAAAAGGAAATTCAGTAAAAAATTCAGGGGCTCCGTGTTTGATGTCTGGCAGATGCCCATGAGGAGTTAGTTAGCCTGACAGGGTAGTTTGCCTATGTTGGTATCAATGCACCTGTCTGACCTGGTTGCTAATATGCGTTTCCATCAATCTCTTCTACTCAGGTGGAGAGAAGAGTTGTAGAGGAAGGTGCCTGTGAGCAGCAGAGCAGAAGCTACTTTCTCAGGAGCAAGCTGCATCGGGCTGGCAGTGAGAGCCCTGGAGCTCGGGCCTCTGATGGTCTGCAGCCTCGAAGAGGTGAGTGAAGGCTCTGAGCAGTCCTGTTTAGGCAGAGGGTACTCAAAATGACCCTTCCATTGTCTCCTGCTCTGAGTGTGGACATCCCTGCTGTATACACAGAGAGCTCCCATGCAAGTACTAAGGAAGTGCTAAGGGCCTGGGCCTATGGCCACTGTGCCTACTAAAGTTTTAACGGTTGAATAGAGTTAATTATATTAAATACCAGCTGTTTAAATTGGAGTCTAGTTTATTCAAATTGATGAGAACAAGTTAGAAAAAGCAAGAAAAATGTTTAATTTTATTTTATTCATGAGTGTTTTATCTGTTTACCATGTACATACCTGATGCCTGTGGAGGCCAGATGCCCTGTAACTGGGGTTTCAGATGGTTATGAACCCCCATGTAGGTGCTGGGAACTCAACTTGGGGGCCCCCAGAAGAGCAGCCAGTGCTCTTAACCACTGAGCCATCTCTCCAGCCCCCAAACAGAAAAAGGTTTTAAACATGACCTTCTAAATGGAATGACACACAAATAAGTCATAAACAGCTGTTTTGTTTGTTTGTTTTTACTCTAGGTGTGCTGAGAGGGTGGCTTTTACATACCCTTTATGTGCCTTTATCTGCTTCTCAGCTGTCTGAACTTAGTTATGGTGTAGCTCCTTTTCTTGTCACAGTGAGGCAGTAACAGACAAAAGCACCCGGAGGAGGCAGGGTTTGGTTGTGTTCACAGTTTGAGGACATCGTCCACGATGTAGGAAGGCATGGTGGGAGGAGTGACTGGCAGCTGGGTACAGGGCATCCGCAGTCAGGAAGCAGAGAGCGATGGATGCTGGTTCTCAGCTCACTCTCTTCTTTTCATTCGGTCTGGGAACCCAGCCCGTAGAATGGCGTGACCCATAGTTAGAGCTGATCTTCCCATCTCAATTACACCGATTGCAGAAAGTCTCTTAAGACATAGCCAGAGGTTTCATTCCAGGTCTCATCAAGCTGATCAGTATTTACCATCGCATCCTATTTATTTGCTTATTCATTTTGAAACAGAATCTCATAATACAGCCTGGAACTATTGATCCTTTTGTCGTTAGGCTTACCCCCGCCCCCAACACTCTTCTCACCTCCCTACTTTTGGGGTTGTCATTTCCACTTGCACTGTGAGAATACAGACTCAGAGGCGGTTAGTGATTTCACCAAGGGCAGACAGCTGATGAGCTGTGGTGGTATCCACACTCTGGGCTGCTTACCCTCTAAAGCCAAGCTGTTCCTTTGCATTGCCCCTACCCACCATACTTTTCTATTAGTTTCAGAGAGAAGCACAGAGACCCAGAGCTCCTCGGAGCGACGCTGGAGTACCACAGCACACAGTCGGTGCAGCTTCGTTAATGGGTGAGTCTCCTGCTCTCGAGCGCTGTGAACTTGGTGTGGGAGTCTACACACCCTGACTCTTTGCTGATTAGTGATGAGAAGCCCATTCAGAAAATGACATTAGTGAAAAGCCAAGGAATGCACTGCCTGCTGGCAACAGTCTGGTCAGGAACCCCCCCCCCCCCCATATCTCCCGGGAATCCCGTTCCGGCCCAGAGATGGAACAACCTGGGCACTGGTGTTTTAGCCATGATCCCTAGGCACACCCTGCCTGCTACACAGCAAACAGCCCCAAAGCACAGTGGCTACAGGCCACAGTTACTCAGAGCTCATGACTGGGGCATGCTGATTTCAGCAGGGATTAGCCTGAATTCCTGGCCTCTCTGGTCATCTTCTGCATCTATGACCAGCTGAATCACTGACTGGGGAGGCTTCACTCCCGGGGAGTGGGTTTGTTACCCCAGCATCCCCATGAGTCCGTGACATACTGTGCACACTGTGATGGCTTCGGCCTCTCTAGGTGACTGGAGTTTGTTAGCTTCATTGTATCCCAGGATCCCTGTTGCACACACAGTTGGTCTGCTGTTGGCCAAAGCACCAGTAGGTGGTACGTGGACTGTTTATTGTCAAAACAGTTTGAATGTCTCAAATTCCAAAAACAAAGTCAGAGCCATGATCTATTTAGGGAATATTGGGACCTTGGAGTCAGGGTGAGCACAGAGGCAGAATCCTGGGGTGATGAAGGGGGGGTATGTGTGGTCTTATACCTTAAGTAGTTCCCCAGCCTGTGGTTGTATAGCCACCTTAACCTCTGCAGGCCTCAGCTTCACCAGTGGAAGATGCTGTGTTCTCTCTCATGATGTGGGAAATAACAGGAGGTGGCAGCTGAGTCCGAGGGCTACATCATCAAGTGCTTTATCCTTCCTCACTCTTGGCCAGTGCTTTTGCAGGCGCCGGTCCCTGTGACTGTGAGGAAGGCCTGCAGTGTGGCTCGGGGCCTATACTCTTGGCGGAAGCAGAAAGCTCACAGCCAGCAACATCTTCTCCAAGGAATTTCCTACAAAGAAAGGGAAAGGTGAGCAAGGAGGTCTGGAGCTGGGAGACAGTCAAGAGTGGTCCCAGCTGGGACCTGTAACACAGAGGGAGGATACAGGCAGGGGCTTCAGTGCTCAGAGACCCTGGGCTGGGGCTCATAGACCTGTGCTGACAGAAACCTGAACCTGGTCAGCTGAAGCTGGGTATCATCCACCCCCCTCCCCGACCCCTGGACTGGCTGTACAGTAGATGCTGTTTAGGATGTGAGGTTTGTTTCAGGCCTACCTCTCCTGAAGTTTGAGGCTCTGTGTGTAGAACAATAGCCAGGTGTGGCATGTAAGAGAGATGACCAGAGTGCACTTGTGAGAGGCCTTTTGGACAGACGTAATGCAGGGGCATATCTGGGATTGCAAGGTGGCTTAGCTAGGAAGTTCTCCTCTCTTGTTGGCGTGTGCGTGTGCGTGCGTGCGTGCGTGCGTGCGTGCGTGCGTGCGGGTGTGTGTCTGTGTTTGTTTGTTAGGATTGGAAAAATGTGGAGGAGTTGAGACCAGAGAGCAGCCACATCAACTTGCCCAGCCTTGAAGGCCCAGCTAACAGGACATACAGACAGGGAGTGGCCCCGTGGTCTATTTATACCTCCTGTGGATTTTTCATAGGCAGATAGAAGAACTCGGCTAAGGTCAGTTAGCTTGCTGAGATCAGTTTTGGGGTCATATTTAATTGCTTGCCACTTTTTTTTTTTTTTTGAGGCAGGGTCTCTCATCAGACCTGGAACTCACCAAATTCCGTTAGACTGCCCCTGTCCTCATCTCCCTGTGCTGGGATTTTAGGTGTAACTCCACTGTGCCTGGCTTGTACACCAGCTCTGGGGGATGGAACTCAGGTCCTCATGCTTGCCCTTGGCACTTCACCGACTGAAGATCTCCTCAGTCCTCGATTTTCTTTTAAGTTTTGTTGTTTTGTTTTATTTTTATTTTTTGTTTTGGAGATAGGGTCTTACTGTGTAGCTCATCAGATTTCTGATGTTCCTCCCTCAACCTCGTGAGTACTGAGGCTACAGGCGTGTTCGCCTCTAGACCCACTTGTTTTAGGCTTTTGATACACATGAAGAGTATGTGCTGGTGGGTAAATGTTACCCTCTAACAACGCATCCAGTGAGAGTCAGCATGCTGTCAGTCTCCTACACCTCACGGCTGAGGTGGACAGCAGCACGGGTCTCTGCCCGTGTCATCTCTGTCTTGCCGAAAGCTGTTTCTTTGAGGGGCATCAGGAGCCAGAGATGAGCTCCAAAGCCTGGGACCCCTTTTTTCTTCCATCTTTGGTAATTCTGGATGTTTTTCTCAGTTCTCCAGACCAGAGTTCATCCTGTTGGCCGGCGAGGCCCCGGTGACCCTACATTTGCCTGGATCCATTGTGGTAACTACGGCTTAGGCTGGGTGGGACAGGAAAGCATCCTCAAGCCGAACAAACTCAAGGCTGACTGGGTCTTTCCAGGGGACGTCTTGGTAGTCTCCCTGTTCTAGGCCCTTCTCTCATGAGCCCTCATATCTCTCCCTCTCTTCCTCCTATTTCTGCTCATGCTGCCTTCTCAAAGCTGTTTAAAGATTAGCGTTCTCCTTTCCATCCACTTCGTCTTCTCCATCTCTCCCATCCCTTCAGACCCCTGCCAGGGCGTGGCCACGCTAGTCCTGCCTCTCCTTCTCCCCTCTGAGAGGAGCTCCTTGTGGCCTCCAGTTCTGTCCTCACAGCCCTAATCTCAGCTCAGCCCCCATCTCCTCCCTCAGCACAAATGCCAGCAGCATCTCCACGGGCTAGGTGCTCTGCCAGGCCCCACTCTATGCTTGGGTGAACAAAGTCCTTTCGTGTGAGGCCTACAGTCTGGCAGGAGGAGGAAAAGAGAGACAAAAGCATAATAGAAAAGCATGCCAGGTTGCGCTTTGTGCTTTGAAAACATTGAGAATACATGGAAAGATGGAAGAGGGTAGAAGATGTTGGGTGAGGACGGGAAAAAGTCACTCCCTTAGCCAGGGAAATGGCTCTAAGGAGACAAGAAGGGAGGGAGTGAGGCAGGGGGATTTTAGGAGAAGGGTCTGGCAGAGGGAGAGCACTATATGGGGGTGCTACCCAGCTCAGCCAAGCACATGGCCTCATGCTTCATGCCCAGCCTGGGGCCGTGAGGTTCTCAGCTAATGTTGAGCATTTGGGAAGACGACCTTCCCATTTTCCATGCTCCCAGAGCCAAGAGGCCTGTCTGGCCAACCCTGTCTGGCTGTGCTGCCTTTTGGCTCTTGGGTCTTTTGGAGGCAGGGCTGTGGGAAGCCTCGGGTGGTGTCTTTCCCTTCCCAGGTTCCTATGCCATCCCTATGCCTGTCTTTTCTGTAGCTCAGAGCAATGTAGATAAACACTAGAAAACCCTCTCTGGCTCAGTCAGGGGTGCATGACTCATGGATGAGTCTGAGGGAAAGCTGGGGAAAGATATGGATCTTATCTCCCCACATTGCAGACCTCATAGGTTCTTCAGAGAGCTCAGACTTGGGTCTGGCTTCTCTCTCTTACCAACTGTGCAACTCTTGGAAAGTCCCTCATTGTCTCTAAGCATCAGTTTCTCATCTGATAATGGGAAGCCAAACTATACTCCTTTCCTAGGTGGGTAGACAATGAAATGAGGTAATCCATGGGACATGCTTAGCCTGACCAGCCCAGGTTAAAGACTCACAGTCTCATCTTAATTGTGGCCATTGGTACTATTATTGTTTTCAGACCAAAAAAGGGAAGTCCTACTTGGCTCTCAGAGACCTCTGTGTGGTCTTGCTGAGTAGACAGTGTCTGGAGGTGAAGTGTGACATGGAGTCCACAGCAGGAGCTGTCTTCAATGTTGTCATGTCCTTCATCAACCTTGAAGAGACCACCTACTTCGGTTTGGCTTATGTGAAAGGTAGGCGTTTGCTGGGGACATTATTGACATGAGCTTCTGGGAACCCAGGTACATGGGGACCTGGACTCTGTTCCTCCTGAAATATTGCTTGATCCTGGGACACCTAACCTTGCTTAACTCAACACAAGTTAGCACAGAGGATGCTCTGGGTACCTGTGTGAAAAGCGTCAAGTGAGCACAGATTGTCATGAAAGAGTCGGGGTAGGATATGGGTTTGTGGCTTGCTGGGTCTGATCAGTTATAGCACTCTGAAGTTAGACAAACAAATATTAAAAACATTTGTAAATTATCTGAGGTGCTGCTGGCATTGTGCACCTTGGCCCCCAAGAACCCAAGGTAGTCGTTCTTGAGAGAATGGTTTTCAAACATTTTTTCCCAAGTTTCTCTTTCTATGAAAGGCTTTTCCCCCTCCCCTCCTGAAAGTACTCCCGTAGGGTAGATGGAGTTCCTCAACCTCAGTGTAGAGTGCAGAATGAAAAGAAGCTGAGAAAAGATTTCATGGGACTTCAGTCTGAGCTCCAGGGCCCATCTGTGAGGTATTAGAGTCTTGGTGTTCCTCATTCTCCAGTTTCTAAAGAGGGGCTTGTGAACTCTTAGTGTGTCACAGTGGGGCTGGTGGCAGTGTCCTTATCTCCCTAGAGTTCTCATCAGACCCCACCCCCACCACAAGGACACCATTTCTAAATAGAAAGAACAGCCATTCTGTATTGTGATGTAGGTCATAATCAGTGGAGTTTAAATTTTGTAACATACAAATGGAAGCACTTTTTAAGAAGAATTGTATTCTTTTTAAGTGCCTGCTGAGTACCAAAAGCTATTCAAATCACTTTATTTAAAAAGATACATTTTAATTAAAATATAGTTATATCACTTTTCCCCTCCCACTCCTCCCTCCAATCCTTCCCATGCCCCATCTCTCAAATTTATGATCTCTTATTCATTAATTATTATTGTCACATGCACACGCTTGCACCCCCCCCCCCCCCCCCCCCCCCACCCGTAGCTAGAGTTTTCCTGCCTTGCCCACAGTCAGGACAAATCTCTGTCACCCGCCAGTCCCACAGCCGCTCAGACCCAACCAAGTAAACACAGAGACTTATATTGCTTACAAACTGTATGGCCGTGGCAGGCTTCTTGTTAACTGTTCTTACATCTTAAAGTAACGCATTTCTACAAATCTATACCTTGCCACGTGGCTCGTGGCTTACCAGCATCTTCACATGCTGCTTGTCCTGGCAGTGGCTGGCAGCGTCTCCTTCTGCCTTCCTGTTTTTTTATTTCTCCTCTGTTAGTCCCGCCTATACTTCCTGCCTAGCCACGACCAATCAGGTTTTATTTATTGACCAATCAGAGCAACTTGACATACAGACCATCCCCCAGTACAGCCAAGTGCAGACCATCTCAGACACCTGCACCCAGGCCCATGGTCCTAATCATCCTCTATGCAAACCTGCTGGGTAACGCCACAAGGAACCCAAGAAGGGCTCCCACAGGACATACATTAACATCCCACAGCACCCCACCCCCACATACACACATAACCTGCTGAGTCTGTTCAGTGTTTAGTGTTGCTTAGATGTATATGTTTTCAGGGATGACACTTGGTATTGGATAACTAATTAGAGCGCTCATCTCTGGGGAAAACTAATTGTCCCTTCTCTCTCAACAGTCATTAGTTGCCTGTCGCTTTTCATCTAGGGTTAGAGCCCTGTGAAATTTCCCCTATTGATGTTGGCATGCCAGTTGGCGTTGCCACTATTCTTATCTTATTTAGTCAGCTATACTCTTTAGATTTCATGGGCGTGGCTTTCCTGCTGTATCCAGAAGACACAACCTTACAGCAGACTTTCTGGTCTCCTGGCTCTCACAGTCCTTCTGCTCCCTCCTCTACCATGATCCTGGAGCTTTGGGTGCAGGAGTTGTGTTGTAGACACACCAGTTGGGGCTGGGTGCCCCATGGTCAGTTGTTCTCTGCATTTGGACCAGTAGTGGCTTTCTGGAATGGTCTCTGTCTTCTGTAAAAGAAGCAGCCTTTGATGAGGGTGCGAGCTGCACTTTCCGCCTGGGTAGCCCACAGAAAACATTGCATTTTATTTATTTGAAATGTATAATCCAAGTAAAAGTCAGGCTTGGGAGACAGCTCAATTGGGAAAGTGCTTGTCTTGGAAGCAGGACGACTTGAGTTTGATTCCCAGGACTCATGTACAAAGGACATCTGAGTATGATGGTGTCTCATTGTAATCCCAGTGTTGGGGAGTCAGAGCCGGGCAGATCTCTGGGGCTTGCTGGCCTGCCAGTATACCCTACCTGGGGAGTTACAGGCCACCTGGAGTCCCCATCTCAATAAAAAGGTGGGTGGTGTTGGAGTAATGGCATCCAAGATGGTCCTCGGGCCTCCATAGGCACATGCATGTGATGCTCTCATATATATACCAATGTGCACATACATGCTCAAAACACCAACTGGACAAATATGTAAAATCTAGGTGAGCACAACCCCTACCCTCCAGTCAAGGAGATGCTTGTAAACCTTTCTCATGGGGATGATTCCTGGATTTCTGGAGCTGCTTAGGGAGGGGCCTCCTGGAGAAATCATGAATCTGGATAGAGACCATCTTGGGAAGGTTTGTCAGCCAGACTGTATTGGGAACTCATCCACCCCTTGGAGAGGATCCTTCTTCAGGGAAAGTCAGTATGGTGTGGGGAGTCAAATTCAGCAGCAAGGGTGGAGGGCTGGGGGCGTTGGGTGATGGCCATTAGAAGTACCTGGACACCTACCTACCTTTCCACACATACCTCCCCAGGCAGCAAAGGCTGGATGCTAATTTTAAAGCCCTACCTTGTAACTGTGGTGGGAGCTCACTCTAGAGAAGTCACTGTCCTACACACTGAAGTGGGAGGGTGGAGCACAGGAGCAGACAGCTTAGGATATGCAGAGTGTCAGAGCGGGGCAGAGCTGCAGAAATCCCGGGAGTAGCCCGTGATACTCAGTCTGGTTGAGAACAGCTTTCAAGGGAGCAGAGGGATGGGGGCAGTATATTCAGAGGTTCCAACTGATCTAACCTTCTCCTAGATGGGCTGGAGGATCAACTCTGCAAGAGTTGAAGACCCGAGCTTGCAAATGAGATAGTTATTATCAATGACTTGGTCCTTTCAGGCTGTTACTACAAAGTGCCATAGCTGGGTGGTTTAAACAATCGTCTTTCCACCCTCAAAGTTGGAATCTTCAAGTCTAAGATCAAAGTGTCAGCTGTTTTATTATTGGTATAGGGATCTGCCTTCTGTCTCACAGAGGAAATCCTTCTCACTGAGTCCTCACATGGCAGGGAGAAAGAATGAAAAAGGGAGGAAAGGAGAGCCAGATACACACATAGCAAGGGAGAGGGGGAGGAGCAAGGGAGGGAGAGGGAGAGAGAAACTCAGCTATGAATACCATTATACTGCATGTTTGGACTCACTGGGTGAGGGAGGAGCATGCAAACATTTAGTAGGTAACGTGTCTGTGACTGGGAGGTGCAAGATGGTTCAATCGACGCAGAAAGACCTGACATGTGGCAGGGACTCCATTCCTTTGTCATATGATGACAGCAGGAAAGCAGATGCTAAGTGACAGCTCTTCATCATAAATGCAGTTGTCACTCAGCATCCACAGGAATCGGATTCTAGGACCCCAGCAGACACCCAAATCCACAGAAGTACATATATATAAGGAGGCGGTGTATGCATGTGCTTTGTGCACTCTCTTGTGTGTCTCTAGAGTACTCAATTCAGTATGAACGCTATCTGCATGGGTGCCACACTGTATCGTAGAGGGGACACTGACAGAAAGGTCTGTACATATTTAGTACATGTAAAATAAGTATTTCAATATGTGGTTGGTTGAATCTGCAGACACAGACTGTGCATATGGAGAGCTGGCTGTAACTCTGTTTCTTCTTGATCATTTTCCTTTGTCTCCGCTAAGCTCCTATGGCCTGTGCAAGAGTCCCTTGTTACCAGATACTGAAGGGACCAATGCAGCTTGCACCCTACCCCTCTGGGAAGAGCCCAAGGGATGAGTCTGAGGGTGGGGCACTCCCTATCATTCTTCCTCCAAACTCTATTTCCATCTCAGGCGAAGAGTTCTTTTTCCTGGACAAGGACACCAGATTGTGCAAAGTTGCCCCAGAAGGCTGGAGAGAACAGCACCCGAAAGGTTCCATGGATACTTTGACTCTCTTCCTGCGGATAAAGTTCTTTGTCAGTCACTATGGGCTGCTCCGGTGAGTGCTGCAGCCTGTTCCTAGGATCATTAAGGGTAACTGGCATTATGGGTAGGGGATAGGTAGAGTCACGGAGAATGATATATTGCATATAAAGGTCAATTTCTGTCCATGGGGTTCTGATGAATCAAGCGGAAAACTAGTCTTTTAGGGTGGGCCCTGATCAAAATGAGAAGTCATTCCCTGTATTTCAGATATAGTCCACTCAACATCAGGTTCTCTTTTCCCTAAATCCCTGCAAGGTACAGCTCTACAGCTCAGGGTTCCATGAGAATTCATTGGCTTTGCAGTCAGCTCACCATCTCTGTTTTCTGTTGCTTACTAGAGACACCACCTAACTGAACATCAGTTTTATGTCTTGAACTACATCCTTATGGGTGTTAGGTGAAGTACCTGGTATAGAGAAGCCCCATCAGGAGGAAGGGGCATGGTGTGGGTGGAGGAGCCCACACTAGTCTCTCTGGTTCTGTTCTCTGGGTTCTGCTGGGTTGTATCCATTTCCCCAGACTTGGAAGCCCTCCAGTGTAGTCCTCTCCCGACTCTCAAGCTGTCCTTATTCTCGTGTTTCTTTGCTAGGCACAGCCTGACAAGGCATCAGTTTTACCTGCAGCTTCGGAAAGACATTTTAGAAGAGAGGCTGTACTGTGACGACGAGACGCTGCTGCAGCTGGGGGTGCTTGCCCTGCAGGCTGAGGTCGGCAGTTATCCTAAGGAGGTAAGGGTGCTACCTGGGGTCCTAAGGAGATAGGGGTACTACCTGGGATCCTAAGGGGGTAGGGGCGCTACCTGGGGTCCTAAGGGGGTAGGGGCGCTACCTGGGGTCCTAAGGAGGTAGGGCTGCTACCTGGGGTCCTAAGGGGGTAGGGGTGCTACCTGGGGTCCTAAGGAGGTAGGGGTGCTACCTGGGGTCCTAAGGGGGTAGGGCTGCTACCTGGGGTCTTTGGGTGGAGTCACTGGAAAGATGACTTTGGGAGGAGGAGGCTGTTAGGAATAGAGAGGCTTTGCTTCTGAAGTGTCGTTAGCATCTATCACTGAGATTGGGGTAAACTGTCTCCATCCATCCACCCACCTACCCATCTACCTACCCAGCCATTTATCAAACAAGCATTCATTGAATACTTTTCCTATGTTCTGGGATATATATATATGTTATAATTAATATATATATATATTAAGTTCATACATTGTAATGTAATTCCAATCCAGCACACCCCTCTTTATATCAGTCAGTTTGTGCTACTACAATGAAATACCCAACACAGTTAACTTACCAAAGAGAAAAGATTGTAGGTTTAGAAGCTCAAAGTCCAAGATTGGGCCACACCATTGGTTTGGCCTCTGATGAGGGTGTTGGGTAGCAGCACTTCACAGTGGGAATACATGTTGGGGGGGACTCATGATGCCAAATAGGAATTCAGAGGGAGAGAGGCTAAGATCCCATGGTCCCTTCTGAAGGAAAGCCTCCAATGATTTAAGGACCCCCATTAGCTCTTCCATGAGAACTCCATCATTTTCCAATAGAACCATGCTTGAGATCAAGACTATCTACACTGGACCCTTTGGGGATCACTCAGACCAGAGCCAAACCATAGTAATGTACACACTTACTGAGTCTTTATCACCACCAACACCAACATCAATAGCCAATCTTTATTAAGAGATCACTCTATCTGCCATCGACCAAAACATCTAGCTCACATAAACATGGCAAAGTTAACATCACATCTTCTAGACAGACAATCTGTAAAGGTATGGATTTGGGCAGGTGAGGTAGTGGAGGGGGATTTGGGAGGAGTTAGGAGAGGAAAACTGCAATCAGAATATATTGTATGAAAAAAATCTATCTTCAATAAAAATATGTCAATAAACTTTATTTTTAAGGACAGTTTTAGCTTTACAGTAAGATTAAGCAGAAGATACAGAGATTTCTTGTCTCCTATTTATAGTCTCCCCCCAGAAACAATATAACCATTTCCTATTTATAGTCTCCCCCCCCCAAACAATATAACCCTCCTGCTATATTTGTTACACTCAACCAACCTGTTTTATCACCTAGACTGACACACTGCTATCATCTAGAATCCATCATTGTGCTTGATTTTCTGTGTATGGGCACTTCAGACAATGTTAGGGGAGTGCACTAGATTTCCATCACTGTAACAAAATACCTGTGGCCATCAGCTTGGGAGGAGGAAAGATCTATTTAGCCCATGGCTTCAGAGGTTCTAATCCATGGCCATTGGCTCTGTCACTTTGGGATGTGGTGGCACCATAAATCATGATTGAAGGGAAGACGTGGCTACCTCTTAAAGGTCCCATTTCCTTCCAATATTACCAAGGGCTTTGAAGTCACATGGCCTTCAGGGGACACTTAACATTCTAACTACAGCCAGGAGGCTCCCACAGGGACAGCCCCTCTCTGTGTTGTTAGTGGGCAGGAGGAAGAGGCTTCAGGTGTGTCATGGGTGATGAGGCTGGGTAGGTGGTACGTGTCACACTTGGGAGAACTTAGCATGCCTTGCTAAGGGGCTTGTATTTTGTTTGAGAAGTGCTTCTGGTGGTGGAGGAAGAACTGAAAAGTGCTGCCGTGAAAGATGGGAGCCCCTGCAAAATTCTAAGCAGGGAAGTAACATGATTACATTTGCATTTTAAAGACGGAGACAAAGGCAATTTGGTATAAAAATAAATCTCCTTAATCACACCATCACAGCAGAACAATATTCCATGGGCACAGACTCTCCCAGCCTATCACATGTGGAGATTTTATAGTCGTAGATATCTCTGCACTCCATCTGCACTCTCTCTTGTCATGACCTGTGGCCTTCCTGTGGATGCCACGGAGCTGGAGTTCTTGCATGTTATGACTCCATGGGACTGGCACTTCCTTCACATATCCCATCCCCTCTGCTGGGCACTCCCTGATAGTGCCATGTAAGTGATAATTATGATTATTGACACACGAGTTGCACCTAGCGTTCTCTTTTACAAATGCCACATAGATAAAAGTACTTGTGCCTGGACCTTTCTGGGTCTGTGTTGACTTCTTCTCTTAGGTATGTTCTTAGCAAGAAATGCCAGGAGAAAGATCCTATATGCCCCTTTTTCCTCCCTAAATGTTTCAGTAAACTTTGTTTTTCAGGAAACCCATTAGTCAACTTTCTGTCACTGTGACAGAATAGCCTAGATAATCCACTTAAAGGAGGGAAGCTTCATTTTGGCTTCACAGGTCTTGGCCCATGTTTGCAGGCTCCCTCATGTTAGGTAGGCCAAGTTGAGGCAGCAAACCTCAGGAGTAGAGCGGAGCAAAACTCATGGTGGATCATGGTAGCCAGGAAGCAAAACAGCAGAATGAGAGGACAGGGCGTGGGTCCCAGCAGCAACGTTAAGGTAAGAACTCCTCACTCCCTTCCACTGGATCCCACTTCCCGAGGGTTCTCCAAACAGTGCCACTTGCTCATGACAGTCTTTAGCATATGGACCTTTGGGGGACTTAAGATCCAAACCACAACAGAGCAGTTAGGTTTACAGCAAAGCTGAACGTCAGGTGGGAAGGTGAGAGATTTGCTGTGTCCCTCACCTCACAGTGTCCCCTGGTGAATAATATAATCTCATACCAGAAGGGCCATTTGTTACAACTGATGATCCGATGCTGACAGATCATCGTCACCAGAGTACTTGGTTAAGGGAGGGGTTCACTTCTGGTGTCATATAGTCTATGGGTTTTGACAAATATGTGATGACATGAATCACTATATATAATGTCATACAGAGTGGTCTCATTGCTCTAGAAATCATCAACGCTCCCCTTATCAGTGTTCTGCCTGTCTGTCCTCTGGCAACCACTCATCTCTTTACCATATCTGTAGCAGGAGAACTCATATTTAGATATGGTAGGCGACCTTTCATATAGGTTTATGTCACTTAGTAACATAGACTTAAGCACCGTCACATCTTTTCCTTGTTGGCTCATTTAGTTTTTAGTGCTGACTAACTAGTCTGCCATTGGCCAGATGTACCATTGTTTTTTCCACTCACTCCCTGGACAGCTTTTGCTTCTAAGGTTCGGCAATTAGGAGGAAAGCTGCTATTAACAACCATGTGCAGTGATTGATTTGTTTTCAGTGCTGGGCATCTAACCCAGGGCCTTCTACAAGCTAGGCAAGCACTCTTCCCTGAGCTACATTCTCGGCTCCATGGTAGGTTTTTCTGCAGGCATGGGTCTTCAAGTCTTTGGGGTTGATTGCCAGATTCTTGGTTAGAGTCTGTTAATTCTGTACGAGGTTGGCCAACTGTCTAACGAAGTGGCTGTATCGTTATCCACTCCCACCCACAATGAATGTGAGTTCCCGTTGCTTCTGTTCCAGTGGTACTTGGTGTTGTCGGTGTTCTGAATTTTGGCCAAGCTAACATTTTTTTTTTAATGCACCAGATTACTGAGAAGTTTCTTTCTCTTTGGGCCTCTGATCTGAACCCTTACTCAGCCTGGGTCACCTGGAGAATTCTGGGATTCTCAGTCTGTGATGACATGTAGATAGGCCTGTGCCATGGCATGAATGTAGAGTGTACACAGTGGTGTGCCCTTCTGAACCTCATCAGACTTACTCACCTACCCTCTGAATAGGGGTCAGATTCACCCAGCCCTCAGCTGCCTTCTTCTGGGTAACTACCATCAAAGTTGGGGGGACAATGATTTGCCCCAAGGGTAGTGTAGTAGTACTTTCTCATATGGACCACCAGCCAGAAATAATGACATTGAGACTTATTATTAATTATGAAAGCTTGGCCTTTAGCTTGGGCTTGTTTCTAACTAGCTCTTATAATTTAATTAACTCAGGTTTTAAAATCTACCTTCTGCCACATGGCTCTTTACCTTCCTCAGTACAGCTTGTTGGACTTGCTCTGAGTCTGCTGATGAAATCCACAGCCTAGATTCCTCCTCCCAGTTTCTCTCTCTGCCCAGAAGTCCCGCCTATCCTCTCCTGCCTAGCTATTGGCCATTTAGCTTTTTATTAAATCAATCAGAAGGTGACTCAGGCTGAGACACATCTTTACAGTGTACAAAAAGATTATTCCACAACAGGATAGGCAGGCAGGGGAGCCTCAAGATTGGGATAGACTGAATCAGAAATACAGATGTAGGGTAAACTCCCTGCTACCCCATCCTTCCCTCCTCATTTTTTTTGCAGTGGACCTGCAGATTGTACCTACATGAGCTTCACCATACTTCTGTTTGTCCCCAGGTCTGTGTTGAGGAAACCCAGGACTAGGCGACACGGGCTGCAGCCTCAGTTTCCTAAGCAGCAGACCAGTTGAGATCTGGGTGGGGACAAGGGATCTGGTCTCCTCAGACATGGTCTTGTAGAGGGATAATGTCATATCTGAGACTTCCTTGTTATTTGGTTTCACTTCTGATACAGAACACAGCACTATGTCCCAGAGGCACCTCCTTGTCCTGGGGTCCATTGCAAGTATGATTCTGCACACATTTTTCTTCTATTCAGAACTGGCTGGAAGGCTTCCTGGATAAGCTCTTCCTCGACATGTTCTTCCCAGCAGGTGGAGAGTAAAACATATTTCCGAATTCAAGATTACATACCGGCAAGGCTTATTGAGCGAATGACAGCAATCCGGGCCCAAGTAGAAATCTCCGAGATGCACCGGCTCAGTTCTGCACCTTGGGGAGAAGATGCTGAGCTGGAGTTCTTAGAGGTGAGGCCTCTGGGGTCCTGAGAGAGGTGTCAGAGTCCAGGAAATGTAGTCAGGGTTCTCTCTGCAGCCGGATCTAGGGACTAGAAGGGATTAAAGTTGCAAGGAGGTGTAGGCAAGGGATTAACCCACAAAAGGAAGAATCTTTCATCACCCTGAGCAACATGGAGAGGCTTCTGGTAATAGGTGTGGCATTAGAAATGACCCTTCAAAGGGATAGGATCTATTGGACTAGGCTGGGTGTTGCAGGGCCTTGTTTTGACCTTAGAGAGACATCTCTGATACTTTTCTGTGGGCAGGGAGACTTCATAGGTGATGTAGAGGACACCTGAGGTAGAGAACTAGACTACAAGCTGGGCAGAGCTATTGGGAGATGTGCAGCCTGTGAGCGACTGTCAGCACAGCTGTAGAGGAAGTTCTCTCTTCTCTCCCCACCTCAAAGCAGCAGCGGTTCAGTCTCACACGCCAAGAGCACCCACGGTGATGAGTGTGTTGCTCACTTCGTTACCCCCCCCCCCCCCCTCATCGTCGGCTAGGTGCTGTGGGGAATGGAGACAAAGAGCATGTGTTCCCTGTCCTTGGTGGGTCCTAGATCTCTGAATGACAACTGTTTATTTAGAGGTGGGCACGCTGTGACAGAGAGAGCAGGACCAAAGCCGGTGACGGGTGGGATGGGGCAAGAGCCGCCTCTTTTCTTTGCAGGTACATGAGCAGGGTGTGTGTGAACGGGGAGGATCTTCTAGAAAAGGTCCATGTGGCTGGACCTCCAGACTTGGGGAACAGTTTCCAAAGGAAATGTGGGAATGTGCGCATTTCTCTGTATCTAATTCTCTTAACTTGGGTCAACATATTGTGTCCACATGTTTGTTTGTTTGTTTGTTTTTGCCTTTAAGGAGATGAGCGCTTGAGAGGAGAACTGGAAAAGTGAGGTTTTGACTTTTCTTTTTGGCCAGTCATCTAGGAAAATGATCCCAACACCTAGCATGGGGGTAGTCTGTGAGCATTTCATCCTCTAAGTCCCACCAGAAACACTCACTGAGTTCTCTAGCCCAGTCTCACACATGTTCCCTGCCCTGGATGAGGGCCATGTGGAGAACTCGAGGCCATAGAGCTAGAGAACCGAGTTGAGATCAAGGACTTCACCCTGCAGGTCACTCCTGTGGGATGAATGCTGCCTGCAACCTGTCCCCAGCCTTGCTCTCTGTGCTGAGCTCTGTCCTATCCCTCCCTCCACTGTAGAACTATGAAAAAGTGACTATAAAAATAGCTACTGTCTTAGAAGCAAAAGGCAGAAGACTATTTTTTTTTTGTCTTCCTGTCTTTCACAAAAAGCATCAGGTAGATTTTATTTCATTTGCATGCAATGTTGATTCATCTTAAGACATACTCTGTCTCCTACTCTTCCCTTTGGTGGCCTCACCACAGTGACTAATGCTGTAGGTTGCATGTTCTTGGTACAGAGAGTTGAAGATAGAATGAGCTTTGCACCCCCAGAACTCTCTGAGAGCATCCCTGTCACTGTGTGAGTTGTTAAAGTCTTTTCTTTCCCAAATATGAAAGAAAACATTTCCACACCATGCTGCCTCAGAGAATAAGCACACTCACATTTTGATATATTCACCCTTCTATAGTCATTTATATGTATATATGCATATGCATTTATAAGTGGGCATATATTATATAAGTACTCTTATGTATTCATATAACCATGCATTGCAAAAAATTTGAAAACTTACTTTGAATCAATACACGCTCCCCTTCAACACTGTATTCTTTGCCATATAAATAGTCCCAATATGCAACACTAAATTTAATATTTTTCTATATCCATCATTGGCTGTGTTTCTGCTTCATTTATTCGGGGTGAGAATCTCATGAGTGGAGTCACACAGCTGGGTGGCCGTGCTCAGTTCAACCACTGGTGCTACGTATTGCTGAGGCATCTCGTCTCCCACCCACCTCTGGACATTCCTTGTCCCTCTAACCAGGATGTCAATACCATCAGTGCCCTGGATGCACAGAGCCCACTGCAAAGCTGGTATACCACAAACAATCACTAGACATTTAATTATAGCTCCTTTGGGCTCTTCTTTTTCATAAAAAGAGGAAATCATTCCCAGGTGGCTGCCTGCTGGCTTGGTTCACGGATGCTGTACTCTGCCAATTCATTTCCTCCCACTGGCAGCCGGCTTGGCAGCAGTCCAGTGTGGGTACCACTGAATGCCACCCTTGGTCTGGAAGATTCACAGCTGTGTGAGTGTATGAATCCCTGAACAACCTGTTCAAGGTTAGCTCTCTGTTTTCCAGACATCCTCAATGCTCGACCTGCTCCCACTCAACTAGGGACTATGATGTGATATGAAAACAATTCCAGTTGCCTGTTGAAATCATATTAGTTATGTTCTGTATTTTTCTCTCTCCTTAGCATTCTGATGAATGTGTTCCCTGGGTGTTACAAGCATTTTGTCCTTCACTGCCTGGGAGATAGGCTCCCTTAGCCTATTCCTGTGAGTCTGCACCAAATTAGAAATAGAATTATGAGAAGGATTTGTCTTGGTTATGTAGCACATTTTCCTGGGGTACATTCTCAGAGATGGAATTATAGGGCCAAAGCATACAAATTGCTGAGAGTTAGGAAGAAGAATCCATTTGTGACCCGCAGTTTTCAGTACAGCAAGGGGCAGTCAGGACTGCTTGGTTTCAATTTCACTTTGCTATCTGCTGCTGGAAGAACAGGGAACTGTGGAGGATGGATGAGGAAAGGAACCACGAAAGGCAGGAGACAGACGACATTATTTTGCTTTTTACAGATCGAAGGTATCCCAGAAGACATTATGCCTGTTTATATGTGTTCCCACTCTTCAGGAATTCTCTGAATTTTAGTTGTTGAGAGTGATTTCTTGGAATCAAACAGACCCCTTTACTGAGATTCCCATTCCTGCCTCCAAGGAATCTAGGCAGGTTATTTGGATCTGTTGAGTGATTTGCCTCTCAGATATGGAGAATTTATTTCGTGATTTTTTCCTAAGCTTGCTGAGCCAAAAGTTTGAACATCATATCCAATAACAGAAAATTGTTCTGATATATGTAGTAAAAAGAAATTGAAACTATGATTTCCAAATTGAACCACATAAGCATAGCCACATAGACCCCAGTGTATTGCCACAAACTGTTCTTATAGCCCTGTACCTTATTTTATATTTGTTCCAACAGGGTTCGATATTTTAGACATTTATATCAAGAGGGACAAAAACAGAAGTTGGCATCACATGGGTAACCTGAGCATATTGGAAACAAAGGGGAGGCTGAATGTCCTTAGCCACAGCTGTGAATCTGTGTAAATGTGGACCCAGGCTGAATTATGAACTTCAAAACAGGCAATGAAGTCTGGGCAGAGCAGCCACTGATAACGTCCCAATAACCCATGGCTCCTTAGTGGAGACTAGCTATGCTATCAAAATCCTTATGTCCCTCACCTGAGCATGGTCCTAATGATGCTTGGTTGTGTGGCCAAACAGGACTTGTCAACTGGCAAGTAATGACAAGGAGCATCCAGCCTTTTCAGGTGCTATGGTTATTTGTTATATGCTTTTTGAAAGCAATTACAAATTTAAAATACAGGAAATAATAGAATTCTTGTAATGTCAGTAGTGTTTTCTTTGTGTGTACGGTGTTATGTTGTTTTTGAGTCAGGGGCTCTCACTGGGGCCTGGGCTTGCCAGTTAGGCTAGGCAAGCTGGCCAGGGATCCTCCTACCTCTGCCTCCCCAGGGATCCTCCTACCTCTGCCTCCCCAGGGATCCCCCTACCTCTGCCTCCCCAGGGATCCCCCT